TTTCTTTTTCAACAACTTGTTTGCAACAGTATTCTAAATTCTTTTCATCTGTATACGAGTAGAGATGACTAAAAAACAATGTTATCAATTTTTTGTGGATTTCATTGTGCATTTTTTCTCCAATCGTAACTGGCCAACAAATATTAGTACAGCCTTAAAATTGTGTGTTCTCTTCAAAATATCTTTGCTTCTCTTGAAAACTGCAAAATGAGGTTTCAAGTAAGTCAAAGATTTTTCGATGAGAAAATGTGTTAAGCATAAAAGCAATCACGCGTTTTATTATTCCATAACCGTGGAATATCCACATACAATTTTAAAGCTGTATAAACATGGGTTATAAGATCGATGCCTCGAGATCGATTTTTAAAAAGTTTATTTTCGAAAATACAGAAAATCAAAAATGTTCTTATTCAAAATTATTACAATGTTATTATGATGTTAATAGTACAAAGGCTTATATCTGACTGACTACAAAATGTGTTGAGAACAATAAAGTAAACTCTAGGTCTTCTAGGAAATTAGTAGCATCGTCGGCAGTATTCCTGGCTCAAGTTGGTGAAGTTGACTTTGAAGAATATACGTGATGTACTAGAGCAATCTTACCTCAAAATATCGTTATTTTAATGACATTAACGTTCTGTTCTTATTCAGCCTCATCAGTGGAGTAGATAAAGCACCATCTTGTCAATGAAACATTTCAGAACATATTTATAAGCACTGTTATTTTTCGATGTAACTTACGCTCAAAAATGTTGACATTGTTTTCTTAACCACCCTAACAACCTGTAGATGTTATGTACTGACAAGGCTTTTAAATTATGCATTTCATATCAGAGTTCAATAAAATAATATTGGAGAACTGTTCTGAGCTTGCGCAGTAGGTAGGTGTGACTTTAGAGCCGTACTGCGATTGGCTAATGGAAGTTCCAACCGGTTCCTAAATTTTAGCTATTGAAACCCGAATAAAGCTTACATTTTAGCTCAAACAGAAAAGATCACGGTATCAAAAAACGAACGTGAATGGGTACATTTGAAGTATTGAGTTAAGTCTGCTCCTCAATTTTATACGCTTTTTTAAAGAAACGAAACGGTATAGGGTACCCTACCCTACAGGACCTTTCCTTTACTTTGCCTTGCGGGCCTGTATTTCCCACTTCCCTGTATAACATACATTCTGCCTCAGGGGAATCCTGGATTTCCACTTCTCACTAAAGTGGGCTTCAAGGCACTCTAGCATTCACCTTTATGCATACGTGGTAACAGTTGTATGCTGTAAATTCTATTCCTATATCCTGTCAAGTTAATGCGGATGACATGATCGAATTGGTATGTAAGGAAAGTGTTACCTTTATCAGAGATAAAAGGCCTTTATACTCCATTTTACGCCCGTAGGACAGCATGATTGGTGCCGACAGCGACATATGTGTCGCCTTATTGCTAAAACCGCTAAATCCACTTCAGGAGAATTCTGAGGTAACGCTAAAGTTTTGATATTGCTCACAGCAAATTAGGGTTTAAGATCCACACCAAACGGCTTGATGAATTTTACCATATTAGGTGTCCTTATATTCGCCTTGGTAGCACAAATTTTGCTTGAATCCTCTTAGTCACTGCAATTGGGTTGATTGTTTTTTGAGTGTCCTTGTTTATCTTAACAATTCTCGTAATGGGCGAGGAAGTATTGAGATCGCGAAAAAGAAATCGAAATCTGGATATTACGTATTTAAATATCGCTGACCGCTGATCTTTGGTCCCTCTATAACTTCGGAAGTATTTCTTGAATTATGATAAAATTTCAACACTATGCCAGGAACGGAAAGGCTTCGTAGGTTTTAAAAACCGATCCAGTGACGATGGATGTTCGGGCAAGAAACAGAACAAATCATTATTCAACGGTTTGGAGACGACTGCTCATTATCAGAAAAATTCTTGTAGGGTTGAAAATTGTGGCATCTGTTAGGCACAGTTATCACACATAATCTCCAGACATTTACCACTGAAATACAAATCGATGTTCTTACCTCGTTATATGACATGTGTCTGTCTGTCGGTCTGTTTGTCTGTCTCTCCGCTAATCCTTGGCCTGTCAGTAACTTGGGAGGTACCGCTTTATGAGAGTTCCACACAAGGACAACAAAACTTTGTAGTTTGTGAAAATCGCTTCAGTGGATGCGGAGGAAAAGGCTAATAACGTAAAAAGATAAACATCACTCAAACTTCGTTCCTTGACGTTTCAGAGGATCCTGATCATTTTCACAATTTTTGGCAGAGGTTCAAAATTGGATGTTGGAGGTTGAAGGGGGTGTGGATGAGTATATGTCAATTTTTTGAGCTAGCAGTTTCCACCCCCGGTAACTCTAGCTTACCTATTAGGCATATTAGATATCCTCATACATTCAACCTTAAAACCTGAATAGTAAACATATATCTTCGATAGACTTGACGGAACAAACTCTAGACCAAAATGAGACAATTCTGGAAATTATATTTAGTATGCTAGAAATCTGTTTCAAGTAGGTTGACACTGTAGGTCACATATAATTTCTTTGATCGATTTTTTCAATTATAATTCGATAGGTTACATAATAAAACAAACATAACATAATTTATCACCGAAGTTGAGTGGAAAGTATACTGTAAATCTACTTGTAATTTTCTTTTGTTGTGTACCAGTAACCATGCTGGACAATTTAAAAAAATATCATTCAAACGCTCTTATTATACAGGATGTAAAATTAACAAACGACATCATTTAGTTGTCCGTGTCTCAGTTGAGAAATTCCACAGAACATTTTTTTAAAAACGTTCATTTCATTTTATACTTATGCAAAAATATCAAGCTAACGTATTTAGATATTTTCGAACACGCACGTATTGTCTTGGCAACCTCTCTCTTTGCAACTGAAAATTAAAGTACGCTGTAGATGTTGACTATACAGGGTGTTCAGAACTATGGGATCAAACTTATAGGGGTTATTCAGTGTAACAGTAGAAAACATTTGAGTATAGGGACCCGGCGCTTGTGTGTTGTTATCGTTAAAAACGATAACAAAGATTGTTGTTTGTAGCTGCATTCCATATCGCCTTAGTCGTGCTATCGTATTTGTGAAGTTTGCCAGAATTTAAGAAAATTAATAGATTTTAACGCATCTTACGGCCATAGTGCCGTAGTGAATCTTTTCCGGATATGGGTCCCTATACTCAAATGTTCTCTACTGTTACACTGAATAACCCCTAGATTTGATCCTTTAGTTCTGAAACACCCTGAATTGTGGATCAGTGTTGCCAGGTATAGTCGATTTATTTTCTGTGGATTTGTGCAAAGGTTTTCGGTAGATCATGATATTTTTCATTGAAGGGTAAACTAAAATCCAAAACTTGCTCGCGATTCAAAATAGATGAATAGAAGATGGAAGGCACTTTGTTTGAGCCACAGTCGGTTCCGAAAATTGGAAAATTGATGGGTGGGGGAAGGGTTGGTTAGCATCAAATTCTGTTATTTGAAAAGTTGAAGAATGCAGGGTTTAACTGAATTTCACTAATCGAAAATTGAGGAGCGGGTGTGGGGTCAAGTGGCTCTATTCTTCTATTTCGTTGAATTATATCAGGAATATATCGTTTAAGAATTTGAAAACGTCTTGCTAGATTTCACATAAAAATTGATAGTTAGGGTGGAATAGGACTAAAATCGGTAGATCTATCGAAAAGTTGGCGTCAAGTAGGTTGACTCTACACTTCGCACGCAACCTCGTCATCGGTACATAAATGACTATGTTCAACAAAAGTTGGACTCTATCAAAATAAGAAAGTGCTGTTGATCTTATGTCCTGGATAGGAGACAGTTGCTTTGCTTTCGTTCGTTGTTCCAGATGCAAAGCTGGTGCCAAACAACACGAAACATCTATCTGTGGTTAACTGGGTGGCTGGACGAAAGCAGCCTGTTTACGTTAGAAAAAGTTATTTACGAGCATGTATAACAAAGAAATCAATCGGATTAAGTTCGTCAAACAGGTCCGTACAATTAGTCCATACCATCATTCCCCTGCCCTACCCGTAGCGCCGTCGCGTCGCCACTCTCCAATATCTGAGGACATGATGCTTCACACGCGGCAGAGCGCCCAGTCATGCAAGTCACATACCAACGCCGGCACGCTGGCCGCAGCCGTTGGAAGTTTCAACGACAACTGTACAGGGCGGTCTATGGTATGTAATATATGTCTTAATACGTACGTAGCATTATCGGGGTTGGAAGTGTATTAAATATAACGTATACATTACATCAGAAATTGTGATACACTCCCTACAACCGTCATCACTTAGTTTTTTACCCTAAAAGATTTCATGATCAGGCCCTCTGAAATATCAAAATCGAAATTTTTTATTTCGATTTTAGCCTTTAATCGCCACTGAACCGATTTTCAAAAACTATAATGCTTTTCGGTCTTAAAAAATTCGACCGGTACTTCTGAAATTATAAACGGGCCAAGGATTAGCGGACCG